TACAAAACTTTATATTAAAAAAATCTCACTTTTCTTTAAATGGAACACCCTGTATATTTTTTTGTCATATTTTAGCTCCTCCAAAAACCTTCAACTTTTGATAATAATGTCCTATACCTATCTGATAGTTTTCGAAATATCTTGGTTTTCCTGGGTTTTATATTCTAATCTTAAATAAGTTATATGTAATTTACATAATAGTGAGGTGGCCTTGCAAAAAAAGGCAATTTTTATCTGCCTCGTTCAAAGCTAAAATCATAATATTTATTAGTTCATTTTTCTAATAACTCACCCTGTATATGGTTGATGTTAAAAAAAATGGAAAAATTCGTGATTGAATATTTAGAAAACTTATGAAATCTAGCATGCCGTGTGCTGTTAGGATGCGCGTTGTATGCTGGGTTCACGCGCAAAAGTAATTGTTAAAAACGAAACATTGAACAAGTTGATGTAGGTTTGTTTGTTTGATATGACCACACGGCATGCTACATTTAAGTTTTCTAAATATTGAATCACGAATTTCAGGGGTAATGTTTAATTTTCTACCCCTGAACTTTTTAGGTGCGCCACTGGTAGATTGTAAAATAAGAAATTATTTCCTAATTTCTTAAGAAACTTTTTGATCTCATAATTTTTTTGTATCTGCGACCGTTATCGAGAAAAAAAATTAATTTTCGGCAGTTGGCTAAATGAAAGTAAATAGTTGATACTTTATTTTATTTGGGTTTTAGGTTTTAACAGTGGAATTGTATCTTGTGTTTGTATATGTATATAAATTAAAGGTTTCAATTATAACACTGTAGATCGGTAACGAAGCGTTTGCGGGCCTATATTTATATGAACTTTTAGTTATAAACTAAGCCAAAGAATTAGGTCCTACATCATATTTAGGAACACCCTGTATATTTGTCACATATTGGGGCGTGACCAGGTAAAGTTTAATATGTACCGCTTCATAAAAATCATAATCGGGAAAAGTGTTATCGATGACAGCCAGGCACGTTTGGCTAACGAGGGTTGTGCGATAATAATAGAAGCGAGCCGTTTTTAAGCGCACCGTGTAAAGTCCCATTATCTCCTTAAATCTACCCTTAGTTTGAGTAACTGACTGAATGCGCTTTTAGTGTGTTAGGAGAGTACAACTGGGAGTGGGGGAACACTTTTGCTTTTGTCGCTGAAATGACAGGTTCTTATTTTGTGAAAGATGTTGAAATCTGAAGTGGGAAATTCCAGAGGAATCAAGCTCAAATTGTTTAAATTATTATTTATCTAAACGTATTTACATAAATGGTCTATCTATATCTTTTCGAGGTTAAGTTATTTTCATAGGATTCCATATTTGTTTAACCACGTTTATTTCTTTAGGTTACGCCAATTACCTATCTTTCTTCTACCTATATCGCATTCCGAAACCCATTCATTAATGGGGTACGTAAGTTTGAATTAATTGGATTCTAGTGTAATATTAGTACTGTAGTTCTTGGGTGTATTTTTCGTGTAACTAGCTAAAACAGTCTTATCGATGAAGTACCGTTCTCTTATGTAAAGTGCTCGACCTAGCTCACCAACTTATGATTGATATGTTCTGCTTAGCTGGAACTCATTGAACACATATGGTATTTAAGATCAATGTTCTGCGATGCAATGGTGAAATATCGGAGCAGCTGCCAAAGTGCGGGTAATCTGCAATTGCCTTTGTCGTGTCGCAAGGGAAACTTGCTTTACATTTTTGCCACATTGTTACGAATTGCTCTGCAATTGATTACGTGAAATAGAGAAGTTGCTCATGTACAATCAAATGTAAAGTGCCTTTTAATTTATGTTTTACAGGAGCTACGTACGATCTATATTGGATTACGGTTGCGTGCTTTTACGGGGCTGCAAGCAAATGTCATTTACTAGGTGTCGACCGCATACAGTACAAATGCCTAAGGATTTGCCTTGGATCTATGAAATCCACTCCAACATCTGTTTTGCTTGCTGAATGTAAGGAAATTCCTTTGCAAAGTCGAAGAGAATCGTTATCGGCCAAATTTGTAATTAAATTAAGGTCTTACGAATCTAAATTAATCCAGCAACTATATGGGTTATTAATCGAAACTTTAACAAACAAGTATTGGAGAATAAAAACCTCCCCCCCCCCCATTAGTAGATGCTTTCCTGGCAACCAACAGTACTCCCAATATCTACCTAAGTAGCAAAAAAATGCCTGCTTACAACATGGATTATAGTTCCTTGATATCAATTACCAAAATCATTACTCCCCAATACTCGGATTGCTCTATACTAAACATTATATTAAAATCCATATTGAGTGACCACTTGGAGAAAACAATATTATATACGGATGGGTCAAAACAGGAAGATGGCAGCACTGGATGTGCAGTATATATGCCTCACACTAATCAGTCCTTGAAAATTAAACTTCCTTCAGTCTGTTCTATATTTACTGCAGAAGCTGTGGCAATTGATAGAGCGCTACATTGGTTGGAGGATAATAATATACAAGAAGCATCAGTGATTGTATCAGACTCAAAATCAGTTTTAGATGGTTTAAAAAATATTACGGAAAATCCAACAAGTTAAAAAGTAATCGTAAAAGATTTACATAAAGCGCATTTCCACTTGCATTCATTTCCCATTTGTAAGATGCAACTTCTGTTAAAATCGTAAAATCCGGCCACAAATATGAAAGATAGCGTTGCACATGGGCAATCCATTGTTGACGTGCTACTTCAATTTCAGTTTATGAGAAGAATTTCATTTCAATGTTTTTCTAAATAAGAAAGTTGGAACTGCGCATGCGCAAACCTAAATTTTAAAACTAATGTTAGATTTTCCTTTGTTCCAAGCGCCTAAGTATCAAATTTCACTTAAATGCTTCCATAGATGTAGTCTATTATGTGATATAAAAAACAAAGTAGCAAGTAAAGATATCACATTTATTTGGACCAAAAGTCATACAGGTATACGGGGCAATGAGATGGTCGGCCATCTTGCAAAAGATTCCATTAGAACTGGAAAAACTGAAAACATTTCAACAGCATCTGATTTAATTAGGTGGCATCAGGCAAGCATTCAGGAAGTGGCAACAGAAATGGGTGGAAAATTCCCATAGTTCTTATAACCAATACTTCCTCCTTCATCCTTCCTTACCAAAAGACATCCCACATATATTCACCTTCAACTTCTCCAAAAAGTCAGCTGCTACTATATCACGCTTAAAATGTAACCACGGTAGATTCCCAGCTCACCTCGCGAAGCTTCACATTATTCCATCTGCTGTGTGTTCATGCGATAATGCTTCTACATGCGACATGAACCATATCTTCTTTATAAGTGCTCAAAAAATAATGATGAAATTGAACTACTTTACAATGGATTATTACTTAATAACGTTCAATTACCGGTTAATGTTGCTCACTTACTTTCTCTTAACCAAAAAATAATATTTCAATTACTATGCAACTTCTTGTACAAAGTTGACCAGCTTATATAATCAACTTAAACTTATATAAATGCCATTTAAAAAAAAAATCTTTATCTGTAAATGAGATTAGATTAAGTTATAGCTGTTAAGTAATCAAATGATCTGTGATCTGTTGATCTGTATTTAGATCCTAATCTTAATCTGTATTTGAAGCTTGATTTGCATCTGGATATTCGCCATAAATTCCTCCTGTCCAGTGAGAGAACATGAAATTGCTAAAAAAAAGTACTAAACCTCCATACAATGTGTTTTATCAATATCCGCCCTACCTTGCGGAAGTTTGGCCTCTTATTTCCTCTGCAAATCTGAAACCTAATGCTCTGGTTTAATTGAACTCTAATAAATACATTTATCACTCGATTGAATATGATAATAAAAACAAAGGGGATCAATTTCCATTTTTCTTTACACGTTCCTGGATATAAAATGCTGAGTTGATTCATAAAAAGAACTATAAAAAATGCAATGCCCATTTCGCGATAACGCGTCCATGTTAAATCTGATCCAAAATCTAAATGTTTTATCTTTACCACATAATAAATTACTGGTACGTTCTCCTGTTTATGCTGATTTCTTTTCTCATAGGTCGGATTCTTTAGGAATAATAAAATAATTTATGCAAATACCTAAATATAACCGACCACTACTTTATACAAATCAAAAATTTAAAATAACTTACAGTAATTTTATTGATGTGGATGAGATTTCTTTCAGTTTACCATTGGGCTTATCTCTCTCCGGAATATGCCACTTCATTTAGAAATATGAAAACAGGTCGCTTCAATGGTACAGTTGGCCCCGTGGTGAATGCGAAACGAATCCGAGAAAACCGGCTTCAGTTTCACAAAAGAAATACTCAAGATCGTGTTTATGTTCCGCTGTATTGATACCAAATTTGTCGGAAGAGGATACTCACAAAGGGCGATTGAGACGTCTGCAAGAAATATATCCATTGGTGATGTCAAAACAAAAGCTATTTCGGTTAAAAAAAATGCGCTTTATCTGCACAAGAGTTGTGCACAATTTATACTTGTTTAATTATAAATAAATATGCATCCTCGTTATTATTGAATTATCGCAATAATAAATACAGCATTGAACAGAGCCATTGGAACTATACCTTTTATTATATTGAAAACACGCAAGCAAAAAAGATTACGTGTACCGGTGTAAATTTTAATCAACTCAATTCACATTTTAATTAGGTAATTAAATTACAAAATTCGTTATCCGACGTATTTAACAATGTTGTCTAAATGTAGAAATGAATTCAAATAATACGAAATAAGCTTAAAGAAATCAAAACGGATATCACAATATCATTTCATTTTCTACTTTATTTAACAGAAGATACAATTGGTGAAAGTATTCAAAGGGATAATGAGATAATTTAGTTGCGTTTGAGTATAAAACGAGAAAAATTATTTCCCTCTTAAGCAAGCAACGGCGCTATCTAGAGGGGAAATTTGAAAACAAACCGCGCGGGCTTTTCCGGCACTTTACAGGAAAAGCGCGGAAACTTCTGCGGCGTCGAAATGCAACAAACGCAGCGTCTATCGATTGAGGTCATTAAATGCGATGTGTTTAAGATGAATAAATACAAAATTCGACAGGTGAGTGAGTTAATACATTTTATTCCCCTACGCCCTTTGTAGGGCTCTAAGCCGCACTTGTGCGCAACACTTTTGAAATGCACATATGTATGCACCCACCCTTCGATATGTAACTAGAGATGTTATCGGACGCTAATGACGGTCCCTCAGGGAAAAAGATAAAACCCCTTCATTAGCCTGTCATTACTGATATCCCATCAACACTTCGATTTCAATGAGATTCAATAAAATCTATGGGGTGCATCCACATGCTACATTATCAAACCATGAGGGTGACATACGCAAGCCCCGCTTGTTGCTATTGTAGCGTTTCTGACTTTTTCTAAAATATGATTTGATTGAAATCGCTTTGTTTTCAGATCCGAAAGGATCCGAAATGATTAAGCTCATCGTCATCTTTGTATTCGGAACAGTTGGCGCCATAAGTCGCGGACCACATCATCCACGCGGCGAGAAAGTCGTCAAGCACCACGTGCATTATACCCCATCGCGACATTCAAGTCCAAAGAAAATGACTCAAGATGAAGAGCTTCTGCACGATACAACCCACTTGGAGGTGAGGCTTTTAAGGCTACCATTCCTGCGCGTAATTAAACACTTCTAGGAGCACTCGGAGGATCTGGTCGATGTTTCCACGATGAGCGAAGAGGAATTAGATTTTTTCTATTTTCAAGTGCACGACAGTGACAAGAATTCAAAATTGGACGGGTTAGAGATGTTGCAGGCCATTCACCATACAGCGCACAACTTCGAGTACACTAAAGGGGAAACAATCGACAAGGACGAGGACTTTCAATACTACATTGGTAACTAGTGTCTTTAATAAATAAATTTGTATGATAAGTACTTTGTAGAATTAATCGATCGCGTTCTAACAGAAGATGATGCCGACCGTGATGGTTTCTTAAGCTACCCCGAGTACATAGCGGGTCGTAGAAAGGACGTTGAGGTGCCTCAAATTTCTGACATAGAACCGCTTTGAAAATGTCTACCTAGTAATACATTCAATTCTTTGCGTTTTTGGGGTTCTCCTTTAATCCGCACGAATATCTCTTGCAGTCCCCTCCTACACTACCCCAACTTGCCGCCTCTTGTAATTCTTGAAGCACTTGATCGTAAGTGGGGTCCGCGTGTATTGACATTGTGGACGCCGTCTTTAAAAGCATCTTCCCCGCCGCTGCGTATTTTCGCGCCTGTTGGGGTTGCAAACAGGCAATATTCTGTAGGCAGCCATTATCGTTCGGTTTTCCTAAAAATAAAACTTGTTGAACAGAAAAAAATCTCAAAACGTAATTACCTGTCAAGTAACTTAAAAAGAACAAGAGTTCCTCATCCGTGAAAAGTTTTTCTTCGCCATCAAGGCTCCTAGCGTATCCTCCTTTCCATGCACCCGCGCCTAGCGATCCGGCCGCAAATATGAGAGCTTTCAGGAGAACCAAGACTACTAAATTGGTAACATTGAGAGAAACGACTTGGCTCGTCCCGGCTCCCGTACTTCCCGTTAATCCCGCGAAGCCTCGTGACATTAGGTCACTCGCGATTGAAGTTAGCATACCCTTGGCATCAAATGCCCTAAAATTTGATTTGTAAATCGCGTCACTTGGATAACTAAACAAACCTTGTTATTGAATTGCTCTCGGCCTCTGACGAAATGGCGCAGAACACCTCTGTCGCACCCACAAGTAACACAAATATTGCACAACAAGCTCGGACTTCTTTCATGATGCAAGTGTCGCATACAGTAAAGAAATGTGCCGTTAAGCTTTCATAATTTCATTTATACTCCACAAAGTGACTATAGAAATTGTAGTAGTTGTTTCACCCCATTCTATTGTTACACTGACAAAGTATTGTCTATGTTCGCTCTCTTGAACGAATCGTTTTACTGTAATTGTTTATAATGAAGTAAACTTGGCGTGCCTTACGTAAATAAGTGGAAAATATTGACAGTTGAATGAGTTATGTAGGTACTTCTTAAACAATGCGTAAACAATCTACTTGTTAATTTCTTTAAAAATAATACGCAACACCTTTCTTTCTTGCGCTGAAGCAGTTCATCCATATAGATATTGTTGTTGTTTCGTATTAAAATTAAGAGAAACAGCCTTGGGACGTTTTTCCAACGAAATGGATGTAAAAATAAGTCTTATCATTTTTCAGTTAGAATGAAACAAGGCTTTCTTGGCTTAGATGCCAGCAAACAGAAAACGACTGTAATAGGACAAACTACAAATGTGTTAATTGAAACTCCAAAATCTAGAAAACTATAGATAATCTGGGTATTTTTGAGATTCTACATCCGAATTTCAAAGTAAATAATTGAAAATATCAAATTTCACTCTCTTTTACATTTTTTACTGATTTAAAACATTAGTTTGCTTCCTATAGATACAAAAAAAAATACAACCCCTATCTCGTGCCCATCGTATCAGTTCGCTTACCAAAAAAATGAAATATAAATTCCCAACTAATTGAAACAAGTACATATAAATTGTTCACAACTCTTGTGCAGATAAAGAGCATTTTTTTAACTGAAACAGATTTTGTTTTGACATCACCAATAGATATATTTCTTGCAGACGTCTCAATCGCCCTTTGTGAGTACCCTCATCCGACAATCCGTTGCTGAGGTATAAGGGTATATACTCGATCACGATAAGAGGTCGAGGAGGGGCTATGGTTGGTAGAAATTAATTCCTTTCGTTGAGACCTTTCATTGCAGTACCATGAAGGATAAAACTAGTCCCCCCCCCCTGCACCTCGTACTTTGATAAGAGGACAGAAAGAAGGGCAGTAGTAGAAAACGTTTCCTTTCGTTGAGACCTTTCATTAGAATACAATGAGAGATACCCCCCCACAGGTCCCGTCGCTCACTGATCTCGAAAACGAGTCACACGGGAAAGTTATAGTTTGTACAAACCGATTTATTTCGATGAGACCTTTCATTAGAATATCATGAAGGGTATAACATATGTTTAAGTTTAACTTGGCACCATAAAAGGCATGCGTATGCAAAATCTTTTACTTTCAAAAACAGCATCTCAGGAAATAATTCGTGGGGCGGGGCCCTCCTTTTAGACAGCGAAATTTGTTGACCGTCTGGCACATCTTCAAGGTATAAGCTACCTACTGCAAAAAATTCCAGGACTTTAGGGTACCATTCCCCTAGAAGTAGTTCGAAACGGCAGAAGTGGGTCCGGACGGACGGGCGGTCAGACGGACGGACGGACGGACGAAACGCAAACAATATCACCTTTTTTTTAATTCTTAAAGATGCGCTAAAAATGACCAAATTCCTTTGTATGGATCCAAATTAAATGCAATACAAACCTGGTTCTTGGAATTCATATCCACAGATCGGTCCGTTTATGGATATTATCATTACGTCAAGTAAGCACACGCTACAAACTCTTAAAGATAACCGACTTATACTCCCCCCGCAGTGTTGGGCCTTGTTGTGGTTGTGGGGTTTGAATGGTTCAAGGAGGCATGTAACGCCAGGCCCCAAATGAGAATGCAGACCAAAGGTCCTCGTGTTTGTGCCGTGCGAGGCGACCCGTAATAGAGGATGAACGGATCCTGGTAGTTGAGTTAGCTGAAGTGGCGACAAAACACCACTTTGATCGCTTAAACGGGAGGCCATGGTTATTTTTATTTATTTTATTTATTTTATGTATTTTATTGATTTTATTGATTTTATTTATTTTATTTATTTTATTTATTTTATTTATTTTATTTATTTTATTTATTTTATTTATTTTATTTATTTTATTTATTTTATTTATTTTATTTACTATCCATCTCTTGTTCTGGACCCTCAACAGAACTGCGCCCAATTACAGAGTGACCCGCATAATGCTTTTTAGAGGTGCCTGTGTGCAGAAGGTCTGAAGTTGTTCTATACTACTCCGGTATTTACCTTACGAATTAGGAATACTGCAGAACAACCTAATTCGGAGTAGCCGGCAGAATGCTCGAAATTGGTCTAAGGTAATTCCCATCTCTGCCACAGATGAAAAATTCACCTCAACCCAGGTTCGAACACCCGACCTCCGGATTTATAGCCCAATGCTCTACCACTGAACCATAAAGCCACTATGATCAATCGGCTGTGTCGATGGGTCAGACCACCGACTGGGTGAGCATTTGGAGGGCTAGTGGTGACAGCAGACTGACAAGCGAAAGGGAGGCCGTTCTCGAATGAAAGCGGGCCTGTTTTCTGATACCCTCTAGCTAGAAGCTATATTCTCCTGGTAGCCCTGGCGTCACTTGATCCCCTTGTTGGGCTCCGTGGTGGGTGGGAAGCTGGAAGGACGAAATTTTATGCGTCTAACATAGATGACACAAGCAAATCCAATAAACCAGAGGGAGCGTCCAACGATGCCCCTGTTACAGGTCACCGCTCCTCAACACACCAAGCGCTGAACAGAAGAGGAGAAACAAGGTCAAGCTGGCCCAAACGTTTCAACCTGCGCTAACAGTCACCTCCAACCCATTCATCTTCTGTGACCCAACCTTGATCCAAAGGCAAGCTCCTAGAGCTAACTCCGCTCAGACGGGAAAACGGGTAGAGGCAGAGGTCGGATGGCTCAACACCGACCCAACCGCCGACGAAGAAGGGCAGACCACAGCCCCAACCAAAGATGGTTGTCATTAAGGCTGAGAAACCGCGCAGTAGCTCCAAGCAAGCTGCCGAAAGACCACTCATAGACACCAATAACCCTCTGGGTTTGCTTACGGCTAACCAGGCGAACATGGTATAAAATCACTTGGCCAAGGTTTTCGACTAACATATGTTCGCCCTAAAAGCCGCTACAATAGCACCCACGTTCAAGGGCGAAATCCTAAGAATCATGTGCGAGAACAATCATTGAGGTGGTTGGTAACCTTCCACAATTCTGCGGATTAGTAACTGTTATATAATAGTACTAGCTGACCCGACGGCCGGTGTCCTCTTTCTTAGCTATGAATACCTATTCAATTCGGACTGGAATAAATAATTACAATAAATAATTTCAAAAAATTTGCTGTGGCTAGTACAGGAACCACCCGCCCCACCTGCGCATGCGCGATTCTGCCCTTTTATGTCTAAGAATATGTGTAGCAAATTTGGTTTAAATCGGTTCAACCGTTTAGCAGGAAAAGAGATTTTGACACACTTCCCCCAAAATCTCTCAATCTCTCTCCAAAATAATAAAAAATAAACTTACTAACTTCTAGTTGCTTTTGGAGATTCAGAGCTACCAACGTACCTTTTTTTTGTTGCGCCAAATGCCGTAATTTGAAAGGAATTATTGTATTTCTGGATACGAGTCAAAAAATGTATAGAATCTGGCCAATTTCCGGAAACCAAGGAATGTATAGTGGCTCTGGTGGCGGTATCAATGGCGTCAATTTCACTTGGCCTGTGGCCACTGCCGCAACATAATCCCGGGGCTTCAGTAGCTTTGCAATGTGGACACACAGCGTTCTTTGGTCTAATAGCAATGATTTACTGTAAACTGTAATCGATTGCTACGTTATAATTAAATGCAACTCGATAGGGATTAAAATTAAAATAAATTAAAATTCAACTGAAAATAGAAATTGACTCCCGTGTTTCTTATATAACTATGTATACCACGTGTTTAGTCTATCAACACTTACCAAAAATTGATATTAGGTATATCAAACTTTTAATATAAAAGGCGTTATTGTGGTGAAATATCCTCGAAACTTCTCAAAAAACTCACTGAAATCTGGATAAACTATCCGATCGAATTGACAGCACACTATGATATGAATAAATAAATTTTTTGACAGATAAATGCCGATCCATTGTCGATCGATGTAGCTATTAAAACAATTGCCGTCGCATCGTCAAACGTGCGTAATTTAAATAGTCGTTAAGTTTTCTCCAATTTTCCAATTTTCTGCGCGATTTTCTTAGTTTTTCTTTCCATAAGAACCTTCTACACAGTATTAGAAAACTTTAAAAAAAAAGATGAACGAAATCGGTAAAGTCGTTCTAAAGTTATTGCGTGACCAGAAGAAACAGGGGTTCATTTTTATATACATATAAGATAAGTTGAGCCACTTCCAAATACGGTCGGTCGGTACAGTGGAAAGGTAAAGGCCGATTCTCACTATACATAACGTTTCCATACCATATCCTTCCCATAACCATTCCGTAAATTATTATACCTACGAAATTGACCTTTAAGTGATATGTGCGTAAGACATTCAGTCGCGCGCTAATACACATTCGCCTTCCATATGTGAACGGAAAGGAAAATGTGTATTAGCGCGCGGCTAAACTAACGGCTAACGCACATATCACTTAAAGGTCAATTTCATAGGTATAATAATTTACGGAATGGTTATGGAAAGGATATGGTATGGAAACGTTATGTATAGTGAGAATCAGCCTTAAGACATCGACTGCACCATCTTTGCGCCACTTACTTATGCTCACAGAGTTGTATATAGTAAATAGGGCGACAGTGTTGTTGCGGGTAATTGACCCCCAATTGAATCTTGCGCATGTCGTACACGAGTGTGCGCACTAACCGGATGGAGATATTGTGACGAATCAACAATGTAGCTGCGAGCAAAGCAAACCAGCTGATTCGCCTTTCACGCACCGCGAATGTGTCACAACGGCCCGGCCGTGCAAATAATATAAGCATGTGGCAACTGTATTTGAGGTTATTTTTCCACGCCCAGGTCCTATGTACTGCTCCTCTATTCACTATATGTAACTCCGTGCTTATATATGCCGCACCTGCTTTACAATGTAAGAAGATTATGTACTCGCCTGCTGAAAATGAAGTAATAGTTACGAGTATTTATTTATTTTTTAATATACAAGTTCTTTCAAACACAATAGTAACCCTGCCGA